GAACCTCTATCTACCACCCATTGGTCACTTGCAGGCCGGGCAGCAGCCCTGGAACTCCATGGAGACACAGAGACACTGTGAGGATGGCGAGGGCAGACAGGTTCTGGTGGCTCACTGGAAATTGTGGCGCTGTGAACCACATTGTTCCAGAACAGACTATGTGCTATGGGTCAGCAGATTGGGGGTGGCAGGGGGGAGGACAGGGAAGGGAGGCATCCAGGGTTGCAGGGCCAGCCCAAGGGGACACTGCCTGGAACAGGAACGGGCCTTGGAGAAACTCACTGATGTGATGTCAGCCACGGAAAATGCAGTCTCAATCTATGTGACCAGGATCAGACGTAAACTGGGGAAACTTGTGCACTGGTCACTGCCCAGACTTTCACACATCACCCTCATTTAAGAAGACAAGATAGCACATCATTCTGAGGTCGTGACGGTACTCTAAAAAGTGTCCAGTCAGAAATGCGAGAGTACTTTGAGGATTCAATGACAAAATTTTGGGTCCTTGGCAAATGGATGCAAAGTTCTCCATTGGATTTTCACGAAGTGTGACGCAGCCATGACAGAGCAACAAGAGGTCAACCCTTCATGATGTTCTTCCCAAATACTGTCACAAGGGGGAGCTACTAGGCATCAGATCATTTGCTTTCAATTGATTTAGAACATCCAAGTAGTGTAACCAGCAAACACTGTCTTAGGCACTTAATGTTTTGGCCATACTATTCCATGAATGAGTTAAAAGCTATGAGAATATATACCTTAGGTTGAGGTAATATATTTTTTCTTTATTAGTTTAACATCTTTGGGTGAGGAGTTTGTGTCCTTTGAAGCCAAAGTCATCCTAACTACAAACATTCCCTCCCTCAATCCATTTTATTTCAGGGTGTGTATACAGATACACATCAGAGCAGGTACAGTAGTGAAGACTGCTAGCACCCCTGGCCTCTCCCAGTGTCCTGTTTTGTGGCAACAACAGCCAAACTCTACTGATTCAGCCTGAATCCCCAGTGAAGTACATGCGAATTAATCCTGGTGCTTTGTACCATAGTGTTTCTAGACTTGCTCACACTCTACATCTGCTACTTGCATCCTCTGGCCTCATTTCCCCATCCCCCATCCCCACCACGATAACCACTGTTTTGTACCCTATCACTATATATTTAAAATTGTTTTAGGTCCTACAAGTAAGTAAGACTCTGCCTGGCTTATTTCATTTAGGACAATCCCTCCCTCCACAGACACACCCACATGGTAGTAAATGGTAAGCTCTCATTGAAAACTATGGCTCTACACAGATATGTTTATGTGCATCACTAAAAGTTCATCATCAAGCCAGCAGAGGTGGCATATGCCTTGTAATCCTAGCTACTGGGAAAGCAGAGGCAGGAAGATCTCAAACCCAAGACCAGATCAAGAAAGTTAAAGAGACTCACTCTTAAAAACAAAATGAAAACAAAATGTCTGGAGGCCTAGTTCAAGTAGTTGAGTGCTTGCTTAGCATGTTTGAGGTCCTGGGTTTCCCTAGTACTACAACAAAACAGTGTTTGTTTTCTTTTAATTAAGTCATTTGTTAACAAACATGTAAGTTTAGTCTTATAAAATGCCTTAAAATTTCAAGGATTTGTTTCAATAGTTACAATGCAGGTCGGACTCCTAAACTTCCACAATAAAGTAAGTCCAGGCATGCAACATAATGTCATGGGTTAAACTTCAGTACTTCAAATGCCCCACTCCATAGAAATGCTAAAAAGACATCAATTTTTAGTAATATACATTCCTGATTCTAAGTAAGGATGAAGAATGAAATTAGAGCTTTGTTGCTTTGGATGATTTTTTAAAACATCATTTTATTTGAGTTTTATATCATTACAGATAACTACTCATGAATGAAAACCAACTAATTCTGGCCAAGAAATTATTCTCTGAAGTTTTCTTTAACTGACTACCTTTTAAAAAAGGAAATGATACATGGTGACTAATTTTTTACCCTACTGTTTCTAATATGGTAGTCTAAAATCTTTACCAATATATTCTTGAAAGGGTAAACACTGCCAGGTATGGTGATGCACACGTAATCTCAGCACTTGGGAAGCCAAGGCAGGAGAGTAGAACAGAGTTCAAGGCTACTATGGGCTTCATAGTGAGATCCTGTCTCCATATCAAAAGGAAAACCAGCATTCATCATTTATTATTGAGGGGAAAAAATAGAACCCTTCTTAGTTCTTCTATATAAATGATCCTGTCTCCAGCCAAGTATTTTTGGAATTGCTTTTTCATTAATAAACCATTTATTATATTTTTCATGTGAAATATTTAGAAAGCTAAAAATAAAAACAAAAAGGGAAGCAAAGCACCCAGGAGGCTGAGGAAAGAAGATGGGAGCTCAAGGCTAGCCTGGGCAATATAGAGAATTCTAAGTCAGCCTGAGTTACATAGCGAGACGCTAGGTTACATAGTAACACAAAATAATATAAAACAGAAGGCTGCACTTATCCAGAAGACTCATAAGCAGAGGTCGCAGAGATTCCCTCATAACTGCATGGCACCCAAGAGGTCTACCAATCATATACCTTGACTTCCTTTTAGGAAAGAGCAGACTTATTGTTTAATTTTTACCTTTTTGGTTAGAATGGAAGTTTCCACACAGACAAACAAAAGGTTGCTGATCACAGTGTCACCTAAACATCAATTCAATATAAACATCTGTTAGCAAAGTGCTGAGGTAGTTATTTCTTAGGTTTCCCTATAAGACATTTCTCTCCACACAAGAGCATTCCCTTAATTTGTTGTGGCCATGAAGGACAATGTGATGCATACAGTTCTGTTTGTTATTTTATTGCTTGACAACACATTGTGCTTGCTACATCTTGCTGCTGAATAAGAACACATAATTGATTATCTGAGATCAGCCTGTTGGAAAACTGGTGAAGGAAAATGAAGGATTATTAAATCATGGTAGAAACTCCACTGGTTAATCACGTTTATATTCTTTGCACCAGATACTCTTTCTTAGCCCATGCTTCTTTCCTTCTTCACCACCAGCAGCTCAGGTGATTCCAGTTTCTCTATTCCTCCCCTTTGCAATTTAAGGAACTTGGGCAGAGGTTACTCCAGCCTAGCTCAGGAGATGAGGGCTGATACAGAATCTGATCAGAGACTTAGTAATTTTTGGACCCAGATTAGTTTCAATTGTTCAGGATGAAGGTAATCAAGACTGGATGGCTCTTCTGCTAATGAGCCTACTCAGTCCTGGGAAACTTCTGCTTCCCATAATCAGAGATCCTCTGTTTTTATGTCTCATCCAAGATGAAAACAAGCCCGCACGCTGCCCATTGTCACTTTTTCATGGGAGGAAGCCCGAGGGCAGGCTGCCATTTCACTACGTCCCTGGCCCGCTTGCTAGAGGCCTCCCCACCTTCTCCTATGGTGAGGCTGCAGGAGTGGAAACATTTCTTTCTTGTTTTCCTTTCTTGAAGAAGTTGTATAAGGGAGTTTCAATTCAATAAATCAGTTTATAAGTACAGTGTATCTTCATCAGTGCCACTCTTCCCATCACTCCCCCATCTCTCTGAGCCCCACCTCCATCCCCCCTTCAATTTACCCCGTCTATTTTCACATATGCACATTGAATACTAGGACTGCATTCGCTGGCCTCTTTGTTTGTCTGCCCTCTTCCCCTTAAATCCCCCACCCTTGACAAAAAGTGTTTCAGTTTCCCAATATTTATTTTGTCAAAGAGTGGAAATATTTCTTTATGGTGAAAGCCAGTTTTATTTGTAGATTCTGCAATTTACAGCAGAAAATGTCTGAACTCATTCATGAACCCTGTAAAGAGGAATCCCGACATTTTATGTGGCCATAGTAAATTTTAAATTATTAGGGCGTTTATCCTACATTTATAGTCTGTCAGACTTTCAAACAATGTCTGTCTCTGATCAAAGTTCAGAAGTCTAAAATTCGAAGTCAGCAGAGGCAACCCCAGCAGTCTCTATGATTTTAAACCATCAACTGAGGAGAAGCCTACATTTTCACCTTCCATTTCTCCTTGAACATCCAATGAGTCTTTGTCCCTATTTCTTTAATGTTCCTTCTAGCCCTGTCATCTACAGCCTCAGATACCCTTCCTCCATTCTTCATCCAACTTCAGACCATTTCTTGTTTCCCGTTTCCCAGACCAGTTGGGTGAAGTTTGTATTCTCTTCCATAGAGCTCATTTTCTTATTCATCCTTTCTGAAAAGTGTCTGATTTCTCTTCCTGCAGGTATGCCTCTCATCAAGGCAGTCCCCTTACTACATACATTCTCTTATCATTCTTAGGCAAGCGATACTATGTAGGACCTCAATAAATGTTTACTAAGTTGAACTAAATACAACTGAGTCCATGCCATATACAAATACACGTTTACCACCAACTACTTCCCCCCAAAAAAGAGTTTTCATTAAAGTAGTATCTGACCAGTAGTACAAAAATAAAATTCAAGTAATTTTTAGCAACATTCACTGAACGCTCACTGTGATATGAATGATATATACGTTTTCTCTCTTAGAAATGATATTAGGAGATAGACACCTACGATGATGTGTAACTTGCCCATATCACAGGATGAGACAGAACACCATTAGGAAAGCAAACAGAGTCACAATTAGAGACCCAAAGCCCACTGTATTCCCTCTTAAAGCTATTTGTAGCAAAATTCTGCTCACCATGTGGAGCTGCTTCACTTAGAAGAACAACGTGACTGTGTGTGCCATGTAAGGAACTCCAACGGCCCTTAGTGTGCCGGAGGCATTAGCTGCCCCTGACCCAGGTCGCAGCCCAGTCTCAGCCCTTCTTTTCACAGGCCTTTGTCCCTCTGCCTGAGATGATGTGAGCAGAATTTCTAGTTCCTGCGACTCAGAGCGCCTTCGTCAGAAGTCACTATGGTCCCTGCCAGGCCAAGTACCGTCAGAAACCAACGCTACCAGACGTAAAGGCCATCCAGATGCAGGCGCTTGCTTACCTTGGGCATGCAGATCACCAGGTGTCCTGTTGTCTGAGACCTTTTAGCAGAGCTGCTGTCAGGCTTGACTTCTGCTGGAAGAACGAGCTGAAATGGCTGGAAACAAGCAGCATGTATCAAGAAAAAGGTCACATTACATGAGAGGATGACTTCAAGGTCACGTTAGGTCTGAGGGTGACCTTGAGTGCACCTTACATGTGAGCTCAAGAGGTATTTTCATTCCAAGTTCACGGTATGTGAAATTGCTTTATTCATTTTGGGGAATAAAAGTGTATGCTATGCTAAAAGTATACGAACCATTTTTACCTAATTTAATAAATAATCTAAAGAATGGTCTTCAATCATCATGAAATACGATGACTATTTATAGTAGAAAAGTAATTTATAGATAAAATATTAACTTATTTCCATTTTAACATCATTAAGCTGATCTATATGAGTGCTCAGAATAATAAAAATACTATTTCAAAAATGAGCAATGAATAGTCCCCTGGAATAAAATGTTAGCACTTTAGAATGGCTATGCTGGTTACCTTCATGTGCAGCTTTGTAAATGTCCGGTCAGTACTTTGCTACCAATAGCTTTGAGAGGTGAGAGAGTAGGCCTTGGATCGATAGTTGAGACTCTGCTTTCCTAATGTTGTTTTGGCTAATCTTGTGACATGGGTGAGTTACACAGGTTTAAAGGATCCATGTTCCCAGCCACACAATGTCAGCAGTCATTCTTGCTGCCCATCATCCCTGCACTGTGCAACCATATATCTGTAAACAGCACTCTGGCTGGCTTTCTAATTTTCCATTGTACTAATAGCTAAGCTTGTTTCGAGGCAGCACAGCTTAGCTTGAGGCTTAGCACTTAAGCTCCAACAATCTTTAGGGCTCTACTCACCTTCCCTTTGACCAAGACTCGCACATAAGTTGGCTGTACATCAACCTCGATTAAAGAAGTATCCATATACCTTCAAAGTGAAGCATAGCAGGTCTTGTCATCTTCAAAAACATTTAAGCTTAAATATGTAACATGTAATCATACTACAAAGCCATTTTAAGAAAGTTTAAAATCTTCTGTGCTAAATATGTCCTAAAAAGTTAGTTTTAAATTAGTCCGAGTCCAAAAGAAATTCAAGATATCAGCAACTTCATTCTTAGACCGACAAGTACACTTGTCATTGATTGCCCCCAGCCCAAAAATATCTGAGGTCTAAAACACCAGAGGTTTGCAAAAAAAATGGCTTCCCATGCTTTCCCATGGGTATTTTATTTTAAGCCTCTAAAGTTGTGCAGGCCAGATGCTGAATTCACTGTACTTGAGGCTCACAACCATCCATCCCTGCCTCCTCAGGCCTCTCCAGGGCTACAGCTGTTCAGCAGCCGGGTGGAGACTGGTTCTCCTCTCCCAGGAGAGAGACGGCTTCTCCCCTGGAAGGCAGGCACTGCTGAACAAGCAAAGCCTACCATGGGCAGCAGACACATCCAGGTCAGGTGGCCGCCATTCTCCCTGCCTCATGAGCAAATGGAAGATTTCCGTTTCACATCACTCAGAAAAGTAGGACATTTTGCCAGATAATGATGCACCTACATTTTAAAATGTTGGTTGTGAATGCCACAAAATGTAGTGCGGATTCAAAGATCAGAGATTATAGGTTTGGCTTAGAGTCTTGATCACAGAGGCCATTACATGCAAAAACCTTGAAGACTTCATGGTAGGTAAAAGAAGTCAGACTCAAAGACCACATATAGTGTATGGCTCCATTTAGCTAAGATATCCTAGAATAGGCATTTGTAAACATAAGAATTTGTAAACATAAGAAATAAATGAAGGGTGAGAAGGAAAGCTGTAGCAATAAGAAGCACCTGGAAGTGGCCCCTGTAATGACTGCAGTGAGCCAAAGGGGCTACCATCCAGCAGGGAGGCAGGGCCTGGGTGTCTTCAGATGACTGCCACCAGGAAAGGTAGAAAGGGACCGGGCACAGGATTGAATGGTAAAGCCATGGAGATTTGGGAGAACTGAGAATATAGCAAGGAGGGATGAGCAGGGCATCTTGGCTGCTCCTGCCCATAGGAATAAGGTATGGGAGAACCACTCACGGGTGGAATCAAGGGAAGAAATGTCCTTGGTGATCATAAGGCAACGAGCTAGCTCCGGGGCCCTCAGACGGGGGGTGGGGTGGGGGGAAGGACTGAGTCATAGAATTATGCTAAAACATTTGGAAAAACAAAGAGAACTATGGGACAAAGTGGCTGTCTTGTAAGCAGAGGGTCTGTGTGCAATCAGTGTCAGAATAGAGAAGCTCTGAGTCATGTGCACTACTACTCCAAACTTCCCAGTCACAGTGCAGTGGGTTTATTTTTCTCTTTTGTTTCCATTCTTCTCAAAATTTACTATAAGCTCTCCAGCTTAAAAGGGGACTTCTTTATAGGGAAACTAAAATTCATTCTCACTTGTTTAAGAATTGTCAAAAGACTGCTACCTTGAGTGAGAACTAAAAAAGCAAGTGAGTTAGAACACACATGAAATCCCAGCATTCAAGAGGTAGCAGGACTCTTTCTGATGCAGGGGTTAGAACCAGGCCAGCCTTGGCCTATGTGGCAAGACCTTGTCTTAAACAAATCAAAGCACACAAACAATAAACAAGACTCAAACAACTAACAACAAAAAAACTAAAGGAAATGGCATTAAATAAATGTAACATGTCCTTACCTATAGACAGCCAGGTCCAGAATGATTTGGTTACGTTTTACATCATCTTTCAAAGAAAAGTCAAGCCTAAAAATAATACATTGGGGGAACAAGAGTAAAAAGAAGGAGATATCATTTATCTCCAGGATTCTGTAGATATTGTTATCATATGATCAGAGCATTAATAATTACATTAATTTTTTCCATTGATGAAATTCTTTTGTTTAGAAAAATATACTAATAATAAATTTTCAACAGAAGCCCGCAAGAAATGAATAAATTACTTTTTGTTGATCTGAGAATCTAAGGGGAAATTGATACACAAAACATAGCTTTGGTGCAGAGACAGAGACATCTGGTGGTGGCAGTTTTCCATTTTACCTGAGTTGGCTAGAACAGAACTCACACACCGGGGTTGCTCATGGAGACTCTGTCCCCTCACAGCCTAAATCTTAAACGTTCCACCAGTGCTGTCTCACTTTTCATTGCTATCTGTGTTTCTTTTTCCACTCCATGGGAAAGGCTGAGACTCGGCCAGTGATTTATACAGATTTCATTGCTAGCTGTGTTTCTTCTTCCACTCCATGGGAAAGCCTGAGACGCAGCCAGTGATTTATACAGATGAAGAAAACAGTATTTGGAGAGACGGCATAGCCAGAGAAGAGGCAGAACTTGGATTCAATGCCCTAGGTCTTTAGGTTGCTATAGCATAGTTGACCAGTACAGTTTCCATACTATCAATGTAGATCTCAGAGTAATTTGGTCAGCTTTCTCATAAATCTCAACAATATTAAAGAACAAACTTAAAGTTAGCTCTAGATTTGGTGGAACAGCAGTAGGTCTACTGTGGTAGGCACTTTTATTTTTCCCAACAAATGACCCACGGGTTCTGTATCTTATCTCTGGAGCCGCCTCGTGTGCTGTCCCTTCTGCCATGATTATTTATTGCCCAATTCTCCAGCCAGCCAACTTGAACTCTCCCTTCTTAGATCACTGAAAGCCAATTTCTGAGAGGTTTCTGAGGCAAAGGTTACCATTTATCCTCTATCATCTGTTTTCCCTTTAGCCCTAAACACAGAATGCTTGATTTGAAGAAGATCAACGTATATATCGAAGAAAAACTGCATGGCTCAATCTCCTTTGCACCTTATGTGAAGTCACATGTTTTCATTTGGTAAAGGGGAGGAAGTATTGCATGGCATTTTCCTTAAAATACTAGTGTACGTGTCTTGTACTGCTTGCCTTCTTCATTCTCTAAGAGAGACACATTGTAGGAGGCCAAATGATGATCACGGAGATGACTTCGCACACTATTGTAGTTGTCTAGGCAAGAGGCAAGTGTTGAATTGCTTTAAAGTGATGATTAAAGAGTTCAGACAGTTGGATTCTGATATTGAACAAAAGCCCAAGAAGCTCGGTATTTTAAAGAAAAACACAAGAGGGAGAAGAGTTAAGGGCATACTTGATGGCTTTGTTCTTAAGAGAGTGGGTGAGGTATTGTCACAAGGATGGAGACAGTGGACGGAGACAGGGACATCATGTTGGAGGCAGGTTAGACATGAGGAGTTCTGCTTTGACCGGAAGTTTGTAATAGTTGTTTTATAACAATGTAGTGATGTCACTTGGCTAAATGGACATATGAATCTTGAGCTCAGAAAAGAGGCTAGCTCTGGTCATGAACAATGTTGAAGTCATGATATTTGGTGACATCCTCCACGAATGTGAATGTGAAAAGAGAAGACAGCTGAACACTTTGCTACAGAGTGCTTACAAGATGAAACAGAAAGGATTAAACCAAGCGTAAGAAGAGCAGTTAGTAAGGAAAAGAAAAACCAGCAGCCGATGGAAGACACTGCCTTAAGAAGGAAGGAATTTAATGCCCAATTAGATCCAAGTTCACTAAGTCAAATAAGATAGGGGCTGAGTGTGGAACCCCGACTGTGGAAACGGGGGGAGTAAAGAAATTTCCAGACACACAGAAATGGGTCTAAGAAGAAGCCTGAAGTAAGAGCATGGAGACAAACCCATTGAGAACCTTAGATATTGTGTGGGATAGACAACAGACCTGGAGAGGAGCTATTTGGATTGTCTGAATATTTTGGATGTTGGCACCATTGATCCAACGAAGTAGAGAAACTGATGCAGGAGAGCAGGGGTCAGGAAGCAGCCATGACCTTGATGGGACGAGGGCCGGCAGAGACCAAATTGTGACCACAGGTTCACCCATCACAGCAGGACCTGGATTGTTCCCATTTTCTCCATGAAGTAAGAACCAAGACCCTCAGCTAAGAATAGCTCCCTGCATGTGAGGGCAAGCCTAGGTGGGGGTAGTTGCTTGGTGAAATAGTCTGTCAGTGTTTTGTGAGGTGGTAATAATGAGAAGAGGAAAGGACAAGGGAGATGAAGATATGCCGGGATTGATTCATGTGAGAACGCATAGAAACAAAGCACGGGGAGAGAAGGTGAGACTACTGGGGTGGAGTGGGAGCAAGAGATAAACTATAGCATGAATGAATGCATGCATGCCTGGGGACCATGATTGGGATTGAGTGAGTCCTGAGAATGCAGGGGTAGTGCTCAGTGGGAGATGGATCTGAGTATGAGGGTGGCAAAGCCAGGAAGGAAGACAGAATTGTGTGGCGGGGTGGAGAAGAAACAAAATGGTCAGAAATGAAGGGGCCAAGGAGCTGAGGGTCAGGCTCCCGGTGTAGCAGGCACCTGAGTTATGAAGTCACGGTTGATGCGGAGGAGAAGAGGCAGGGAGAGACAGTGGGCTGTCTCCTGTGTCCTGCAGGTGTGGAGCATTAGGGATGTTCAGCTGAGAAGTTCAGCAGCACTAATCTAGGTAGAAGGCCTGGGTCTTGGCAGAGCTAGGAAATGAGGAAGAAAGAGGAAGAAGGTAGTCTGCAAGTGGTTTGCGGCTGTAACCCTCCCTGTGGTCTCTGGTGAGGAAGAAGAGTGGGGGCAGTGGGGGAAGCAGACCCTTAGTCCAAGTCCTTGAGCAGAGATAAAGGCACCTGTAAGAGAGGTGAGGATACAGGTTTGTTAATGAAGGATGAGCTGCAGAGGATGGGGGCAGAGGTGGAGGCCCAGAGGAAGGGAGAGAATCCATCCCAGGAGGAGAAGATTCTCAGCAGGATGGCGGATGGCGGCTTGGCGGCGGCGGGGGGGGGGGGTGACCAATGCATGGAGGGAGTAGTGAACCATAGTGGGAGGTGGGGAGTGGTCGGAAGTTGGTTTTAGGGGCAGTTATTCAGTGTGGTGTGTCGACTTCCAGAAGTCTTCCTCCTGCCACCGACATAGTCTACACACTGGAGTTTTAAGATCCATGAAGATGGCTTCTGTCATAATCACTGCTGTAGCCCTGGGCCTGACAGTATAGTATCAGCTGCTACATTCCTCTTTGTTGGATAGAGAAGGCTGAGGGCTAGGGGAGAGACCTGATCACAGAAATCACTAGAACTGTGCTGCATAAATCAGACATGCCACCGAAACTTATGTGACCCTGGGCAAGTCATTTTCCTCTCAGGCAGAAGTTTAGAGCTGGGCAAGAGAAATAATGCCTGGAAACAACCCTAGACAATGTCTTTATCTTGGTGATGACATAGCAAATGGAAAAGTAGAAGCAAAGAGATTTTGACTAATAAAATCTATGAGGCTTAGCACCAGCTGCTGGTGGCTCAAGCTTGTAATCCTAGCTGCTCAGGAGGCTGAGATCTGAGGATTGTGGTTCAAAGTCAGCCTAGGCAGGAGACTCTTATCTCTTATCTCTAATTGAAATTAACCACCAAAAAAGCCAGAAGTGGTACTGTAGACCAACCAAGAAAAAAGAAAGAAAGAAAAAGATTTTATACTTAGTCTATATTTTAGAGTATATGTGGTTTTGTTTTGTGCCTACTTTCTTTAACACAGGGTATTGTCTGATTTAGAATTTCCAGTCTGAATAGTGTTCCTCTCTCACTAACTTCATTGAGATATTCATATCAATGTCTTTCCCTAGCTTCAGATGCTCTGTAGATGTGTTCCAGAGGAGACTGTGGATGCAAATGAGATGTCTAAGTGTTCTCAGCCAGCTTGCTACTGAAGAGCTTGAAAAATTCATAAACACAACAATAATGCAGTAGCAATTTTCAGGCATAAAATTGTGTATGGTCCAAAGTTTCATGGAAGACATAAATAGCTAAGCTTTCCATATGTCAGGATGGCTTTCTAGATGCCAAGGGAAGTATGCACTTGAAAACATCATGTTTGGCTCTCACGCATGAACAAAGTGACATTACTATTAGACTTGTCAAACTCTTTCAGGGCGGTCAATATGTTCCTTGCAGAGCCAGCCTAACACTGGAGGCATGCCGCGCCCGCCGCATGGCCACTACCTCCCCACATGGCCTCCTCACGTACTTGGGTCCATTGACATTCAGGGCCTTCCCATCCTCAGTGACCAAAGTCCGGGGTGGTTTCACTGTCTTCCTTTTGTCACTGAATGAGCATGAAGGGGTATAGGCAGTTGGGAAGAGAAAAAGAAACCACGAGAATATAAAAGTTATGCATAGATCTTTATGAAACAATTTAAGAACAATTAATCAGACATTTGTGACTGCACCAACAACTGACTTAGGAAGTCAATTCCTTTAATTCTATGCTGGGGATTAAAAAAGTCAAGCCAGAGACTGTATGCATCTATGAAATTATCACAATGAAATCTCTTGTACTATTAAGTATGCTATTAAAATAAACCTAAATGCAAAGAAAATTAAAGCTAGTTTTTGATATGGTCATATCTAGAACTATAAAGCAAAAATGTGACCAAGACAATCTGCCAGATTTGAATGGGGGAAGAAAACTCCTTTTCATGAAATACCCATGAATATTTAAATGAGTCTATTTTATGCGTGATTTACCCAGATAACTGTCAATTCTCCATTTGTGTATAGAGCTTCTGCTTTAGCTAAAATTATAATTTTTAAAATACCAAGGAGAATCTATTCTGTAGAAATAAAAATACCAGTACATAGGGACTATGTAAAAAGATTGCTCACAGCATCATTTATAGTAGTGAAACCCAGAAATGCAAATGTCTGTCAATGAACATATGATTATATCCAGTTTGGTACATTCACACTAGGAGATATCTTACATTGATTCAAAATGTTTTTGTTCTTTACCTACCAATCAAGAAAAGTGTTGGGTGATTCATTTGCTAACAATGAATAGAGTCCACTTTTTGTTTTTTTTTTTTTGCAGTGCTTGGGATCAAATCAGGTCTTTAAACATGCTGGGAGAGCTCGTTCCCTACACCCCAGCCCACATTAATAACAACATTTCCACAAATCCTACATCTTCTGCAGAGAGGCTTTTCACAATTACAGAGGAGAAAAAAACTTTGGTGGTATCAACTCAAGCCTGTGAACCCTCATCATACTGAACATGAACACAGGAGAGAAATGAAAGGATGTGGAACAATGGAAGCTTGAAAAATATATACTTAATGGCCACAAAAGTCTCAATTAAAAGAACATGCTTTTTACAATTCAGCCATCTACACAAAGTCATCTATCTTATCCTTTAGATCTTGTCTATATACCAGTCAAATTTTTTGTTGTTTTATTTTGCTTTTGTTTTTGCCATTACTGGGGTTTGAACTCAGAACCTTAAGCTTTCCAAGCATACTTACTCAGTTGGTGCTCTATCACTTGGGTCACTCTTCCAGCCCTGCTTTTTGGCTGGTCATTTTGGAGCTGGAACTCTGTGGAATTTTATGCCTGGTCTTACTTGGAACCTCACTCCTCTAGATAGCAGCCTCCTAAGTAACTAGGATCACAAACATGATCACTAGTGTCCAAATAGCTAGTTAAGTTTTATAAAGATAGTTTTAAGTAATGTATTAAGTAGAAACTATGTTTTTTATAGGTACTTGTCAAGCTCATATAGAGGGCACAAGACAGCATCAAGACATAAAAAACTCACTTTCTGCTGTTTTTCTACAGTTTTCTAAGCAATAGCTGCCTCTCCATATGCAAATGGCTATGTTTCACAAACAAGAATTCTGGATAAAAGGTTGATTCTGATTGCTGTACCTCTCTATCTTCCTACAAAACAAAGTAAAATTTATGGAAGCACTAGATATTTTGATAATCTTTCACAGGGAGATGTATTATACTTGATCCACCTCATTGCCATGCAGATTACTGTATTTCTGAGCTAATCGATCATATTCTCAATCTCATAAATTACAAATATTCCTGTGAGTGATATATTTTACCAGACTATATTAAGCAAAGACAGGAGATAGAATAATATAAGGACATGTATTTAAAAGAAACACCCAAGTGGGCTGGGAAGGTGGCTCAGTGGTAGAGCACTTGCCTTGCATGCTTGAGGCCCTGGGTTCGATTCCTCAGCACCACATAAGCAAAAAGAAAAAAGC